AGTACAGCTTATGGATTACAATGGCTTCCCCCCCCCCATAACTTCCCTCCCACCCGCAACCCTCCCCTTTCCCGCTCCCTCCCCCCTTCCATTCTTATCAAGATTCATTTTCAATTCTCTTTATAGACAGAAGATCAGTTTAGTACATATTAAGTAAAGATTTCAACAGTTTGCACCCACACAGAAACACAAAGTGAAAAATGCTGTTTGAGTACTCATTATAGCATTAAATCACAATATACAGCACATTAAGGACAGAGATCCTACATGAGGAGTAAGTGCACAGTGACTCCTGTTGTTGACTTAACAATTTGACACTCTTGTTTATGGCATCAGTAATCACCCTAGGCTCTTGTCATGAGTTGCCAAGGCTATGGAAGCCTTTTGAGTTCAGTGACTCTAATCATATTTAGACAAGGTCGTAGTCAAAGTGGAAGTTCTCTCCTGCCTTCAGAGAAAGGTACCTCCTTCTTTGATGACCTGTTCTTTCCACTGGGATCTCACTCGCGGAGATCTTTCATTGAGGTGTTTTTTTTGTTTGTTTGTTTTGCCAGAGTGTTTTGGCTTTCCATGCCTGAAATACTCTCATGGGCTTTTCAGCCAGATCTGCGTGCCTTAAGGGCTGATTCTGAGGCCAGAGTGCTGTTTAGTACACTGCCATCTATGAGTCTGCTGGGTATCTCACTTCCCATGTTGGATCATTCTCTCCCTTTTTTATTCTGTCAGTTAGTATTTGCAGACACTGGTCTTGTTTATGTGCTCCCTTTGGCTCTTAGTCCTATCATTATGATCAATTTGAACGGAAATTGATCACTTGGACTAGTGAGATGGCATTGGTACATGCCACCTTGATGTGATTGAATTGGAATCCCCTGGTATGTTTCTAACTCTACTGTTTGAGGTAAGTCATCTTGAGCATGTCCTGAATTGCACATCTCTTCCCTCTCTTATTCCCACTCTTATATTTAACAGCGATCACTTTTCAGTTAAGTTTCAACACTTAAGAATAACTGTGTATTGATTATAGTATTCAACTAAAAGTATTAATAGAACAAACGAAAAAAATACTAAGAGGGATAACGTATTAAGTTGTTCATCAACAGTCAGGGCAAGGGCTGATCAAATATTCTTTTCATAAATTTTTTGAAATCCGTTTCTTGCATTTCTTCTATCTCATCATCTTCATAATCTTGGCTTGGGGTGTCTTGTTCATTTGTGGGCATCATAATGTCTTCCTTGTTCTTGTTTCCTCAGTTTCTGTGTTTGTCGCTTGGCGTTGTGGAGATATTCTTTGGATTCTTCTTCCCTCGCGGTGGTGTTTTTTTTGTTGTTGTTATACTATGACTGTATTACGTGGACTGTCTGCTTTTGATGGAGCCTTAGAGGCTTGAGATGGGTGTTGCCAGAGAGCTCTGGTTCTTCAGGGTTAAGGGTGTGCCAAAGGTGACACACCCAGGTTAGTCATGGTAAATCTCTCTCTCTCTCTCTCTCTCTCTCTCTCTCTCTCTCTCTCTGATTCAGAAGAGAAGTAATCCCACACAGCTTCCGTACTCTGGCTCCTGTAGGTATAACATTTGCCTGCTCTTTCCCAAGGACCACACAAAGAATCTGTTCTGCCCTCAGTGTGGGCTCAAATTCCCCTGCTGTCTCTCACAGGTTTGCCAAGGTTACCGAATTGTAGCGTCTCTGGAGAGTACTCACGTGAACTCTGTGAGTGTTCTCGCCTACCGTCTCTTTTTTCACAGTCTCAGTTCATTAGCTCCACACATTCACTAGGTTCTAACCTCCTGTTATTTCACCACCCCCAGGGTCAGGTTTTCCTGCTTGAACGAGGGCAGGCACAGCCCTGAGGTCACACAGCTTTTATGTATGTCCAAAATGGCACCTGCTCTTTGTCTTGCTCGCCTTTGAGAAGTGAGCAGAGAGAGAGAGACTCGTGTCCGTATCGGTCCCTTTTTTTATTTCCTCTCTCCTCTAGTTAGCCTGGTGAACTTTCCCCCACAGGGCTTCAAGCTTCGTTCCCTCTAGGCTCCTCCTTCTGCTTTCCCTCTGGTGTCTCGGGCTACTGAGGTTCGGCTCACTTCACATTCCAGTGCTGGTGCATAGATTCTGGGGTTGGCTCCTGCACCCTCCATGCAGGTCCACTGTGAATCACTATTTCCAGAAGAGTTTCCTCTGCTGTTTCTTCCCCAACTCTTCCTTGAACCTGCAGTATCTCCACTTTTATTAAACTGTCTCTTCCCAGACTATCAGTGTGCTCCCTTCCTATTCTGCCATATTGCCCTTGTGTCACTAAAATAAATATTAAAATTGATTTCCCTTCCTTTCTCTGAAGGGAGGAGAGAACTTCCACTTTGACTATGACCTTGTCTAAATAAGATAAGAGTCGGTGAACTCAAAAGGCTTCCATAGCCTTGGCAACTCATGACAAGAGCATAGGGAGGGCCAGCGCCGCGGCTCACTAGGCTAATCCTCCGCCTAGCGGCGCTGGCACACCGGGTTCTAGTCCCGGTCGGGGCGCCGGATTCTGTCCCTGTTGCTCCTCTTCCAGGCCAGCCCTCTGCTGTGGCCAGGGAGTGCAGTGGAGGATGGCCCAGGTGCTTGGGCCCTGCACCCCATGGGAGACCAGGATAAGCACCTGGCTCCTGGCTCCTGCCATCGGATCAGCGCGGTGCACCGGCCGCAGCGCGCTGGCCGCGGCGGCCATTGGAGGGTGAACCAACGGCAAAGGAAGACCTTTCTCTCTGTCTCTCTCTCTCACTGTCCACTCTGCCTGTCAAAAAAAAAAAAAAAAAGCATAGGGAGATTACTGATGCCATAAACAAGAGTGTCAATTTGTAAAGTCAACAACAGGAGTCACTGTGCACTTACTCCTCATGTAGGATCTCTGTCCTTAATGTGCTGTACATTGTGATTTAATGCTATAACGAGTACTCAAACAGCATTTTTCACTTTGTGTTTCTATGTGGGTGCAAACTGTTGAAATCTTTACTTAATGTATGCTAAATTGATCTTCTGTATATAAAGATAATTGAAAATGAATCTTGATAAGAATGGAAGGGGAGAGAGAGTGGGAAAGGGGAGGGTTGCGGGTGGGAGGGAAGTCATTGGGGGGGGGGAGCCAATGTAATCCATAAGCTGTACTGTGGAAATCTATATTCGTTAAATAAAAGTTAAAAAAAAATTGATTTCCCTTTAAGTTTGTTTCAGTGCAATTGCTAAGACCTGTGACTGTCCACTCATGCTGTTTATTTGTCATCTTTAAGCTTTTTATTTTCTCAGAGGATCTCAGATCCAGACCTCATTGTGGATCTCTCTGATGTTGTTACAATTTCTTAGTTACATATTGTCTCATTTGAAACTCTACCTTTTGTGGTTCAGATAGTTCAGTAGATACTATCTCAAATCCTCTTCAGCCCTATTAGGTGATTTTCTGCAAATTGTCCCTATTTTTATGAAGCAGCCTATGAGTGTGAGGGATGGAGGGAACTATTTTCTTGTTCACCGACAGCATTGCAAATGGATGCTAAACTTCTGAAAAGCTCAGTTTTGAATCCTACATTTCATTGTCTCAGTGTATGTCCATGATGAAAACCTAAATGGGTTTGGTGCCTGACTCTCTAGGGATTCCTGAGTTGCTAATTTCCACCTTCATTCCACTGTGGTCTGAGAAGCTGCATGGTATGATTCTAATTCTTTTCAATTTGCTGAGACTTGCTTTATGGCCTAGTATGTGGTTAATCCTAGAGAAGGTTCCATGCACTGCTGAGAAGAATGTAAAGTCTTTAAATGTAGGATTGAAAGTTCTGTAGATATGTATTAGATACATTTGGGCTATAGTGTTGATTAAATCTGCTGTTTCCTTGTTGATCTTCTGTCTGGTTGATCTGTCCATTTCTGAGAGAGGAGTATTTAAGTCCCCCAATACTATTGTATTGGATTTTTACCATGTCTTCTTAATGAAAGCCCAGTTTTCAAAATAAAATTCACATTAAGCTTTTGAAAACTGTTACAGAAGTCTACGATAGTAAGCATATTTGAGTTACAATGAATGAAAATGAAATGAAATGAAATGAAATGAATGGAAAAAATGTACAAAATTTCCAACATAAGGGAATATACTGAATGGCATGAGGTTGCCCATTAGGATAGGAATGCATTCCTCAATCTTCTGCTTATGTTGAACAGCAGGATATTTAGATAGCATAAAAGTGGAAGCACTGGTTATTGTGAAGAGCTTCTCTCAAGAGTACCTGTAGTTAGTCAGAAGGCCCCATCTCCAGATTCCATGTGGATGTGAATGCCTGTGTTTTTAGCTCATTTGATTCAGGACCTTTCAAATGCTTAAAAGCATTGTTCTTAAAAATTCCCCAAGATACCCCAACTGTAAGCACATGGATAGGAGGTGTATAGAGTAAATATTGTCTGGTATTCCCTTAATTTTAATTGTGGATGAGAATATTTGATCATGTGCATGCATTTAGACTTGATGAAGTTATTGGTGATTGAATTTTGCTTTTCTGGGAACATGGATCACCATGCAATATTCTTCTCTTTATTTTCTATCACTGGTAAACATAATTTCTTTGAAGATTTGGAGGAAGTAAAGGCATAACTCTGAAATAATCAAGCAAACTGTAAATGTTTATTTGTTTTCAAGAAATACTCTGACTTGGGGTAAATTATTACCAGACTATCAGTTTGCACAGGTTTGCTATGCCCATAAAAACAAGTTCCATACAACAGGACAAGCCTTGTTCCCAATCCCCAACACTGCCCACCAAAGTCTACTTTAAGCTTCTAATTTCATTCAGAAGAGTCATTTCTGCATGTGCGAATCACTGTAAAATTAAAGGCCCACCTTCAAGGTAGGTGACAGCTTGTATAGCTGTGAAGAAAGTGAAAGTAAACAGAATCTTTCAGCAGAATGTTTTCTTTGTAATTTCTCCAATATGTATTTGCCAACAAGTTAATGTGGCTTATTTTTCCATCTTTTTAAGGTTTTTCTGCAAGCTAACAAAGAAAGTATATTTGTGACCAGTCTCTGGGATCAGGGGCTTGGTGTTCTTGCTGATGCAAATGAGGATAAAGAAATAACTACAATCCAAAGGTGACGATGTGATAATTTCTCTACTCTGGGCATGTCTGGAATATACAACCAACATTTTCTCACAGAACTATTAGCTTCTGTGTTGGAGCCTTATCCAGTAAAGCATTAACCAACATGAAATTGTTGATTTTGTCACACACATGGTAGCCAGTTTCAATGGACATACAGGATTACCACTGTCATCAGTGAGGAAATCCATGGGTCAAAGAGATGCTATTAAACCAAATTACCCAATTATCAATACTAACATTGTCACAAAGTTACCTAAGCAGATAAGGCTACATGTGATTAAGGAATTGAATTCAGTGACTGATTTTTCCATGCATTAATGCCTGCGGTGAGTCTGTTAGATAATAGGCTTTTGCCATGAGGCAGCATTCCTGTCTTATTCTCCCATTCAATTAAAGTGTCATTTAATTTCAGTGAGCTTGTAGTTGAGCATGTTCAGGGATGCAAAAAGTGTTTGTAGTATACTTCTGTTAATTTAGATATGAGAAGTTGCCAAAATTAGAATATATGGTTGGGGTTTCAACAAATTTGCAGGCAATGTTTGTAAGACATTGTTGTATTTCCCTGTATTTGCACTGGGTTGTGTCAATGGAATTAAAAATATTCTGTTGTCTATCTGTACTTACTGTTTCCTTGTCAAATGTCTTGCTTTAAGATTGTATTTTCTATCTACAGACTCTCAAGACACTTTCCAAAAGCCAGTGATATTTTGTGGTACATGTTGGGGTTCTTTCCCAAAATTTTTCAACATTCCTCATTACATCCAAAGACAACTTTGAACTCACCATTGTGCGTTGTTCCAAGCATGCTTTCCCATTGGCCATCAACTTCCAGAATCTCATCACTGGAAGAGAACCAGGAGGTAATAGGATGCTTTATTTTTGTACTCTGAGGAGCAGAATGCCTTTTGGAAAATGTAATTCAGGGTATGAATTATTTTTTCATTATTTATTTGAAATGCAGAGTTACAGATAGAGGTAGAGACAAAGAGAGGGGTCTTCCATCTGCTAGTTCACTCCCCAGATGGCCACAATAGCTGGTGCTGAGCTGATCTGAAACCAGGAGCTTCTTCCTGGTCTCCCACATGGGTACAGGGGCCCAAGGACTTCTTCTACTGCTTCCCCAGGCGATAGCAGAGAGCTGGATTGGAAGAGGAGCAGCCAGGACTAGAACTAGCTCCTGTGTGGGATGCCAGCACTTCAGACTAGGTTGTTAACCCTCTGCGCCACAGCCCCGGCCCCCAGGAAATGAATTCTGATGGGCAAAATTATAGAGCAAAAATTAATAAAACTTTGGAGTGTTGGCTAGTGCCGCAGCTCCCTAAGCTAATCCTCAGCCTTGCGGCGCCAGCATACCGGGTTCTAGTCCCGGTCAGAGCGCCGGATTCTGTCCCGGTTGCCTCTCTTCCAGGCCAGCTCTCTGCTGTGGCCAGGGAGTGCAGTGGAGGATGGCCCAGGTCCTTGGGCCCTGCACCCCATGGGAGACCAGGAGAAGCACCTGGCTCCTGGCTTCGGATCAGCGTGGTGCGCCGGCCGCAGCGCGCCAGCCGCAGCGGCCATTGGAGGGTGAACCAACGGCAAAGGAAGACCTTTCTCTCTGTCTCTCTCTCTCACTGTCCACTCTGCCTGTCAAAATAAAAAAAATAAATAAATAAACCAAAAAAACCACTTTGGAGTGTCAAGGTTATTTATTCTATTTTGGAAGTTATGGAAATGTGGGTTCTAAGCAGAGAATTGATAATATTGAGACACTTCTTTCCAATCCAGGAGATAACTCACTGATGTGATTAAACCACAGAGAGAGAAGCAGCTCATGTTATATAACCTGGAATCTGGTCTTCGTAATTGGGCAAACCGATGTGCAACTCTGGCTGCCATCATTGAGGGTTGTGGGAAATTGGACAAGGTTTCCACACCAGGATTTCCCCTGCTGAGCAGTGGTACTGGTGATAATGACCATCTCCTGAGTTCACTATTGACTTCCTGGTTGGCGTGAGCTAGATGAGCACATGTAGCTCCACACAGTGACTTCCTCTGCCATTTGTGGCACATTCAGACTCATGCCCATCTATCCTTTCATTTTGGCTACTGCAATCTGAAAATGAGCTGAAATTCCCAGAGCATTCTAGTGGAACTGCAGCATTCCAGATCAATCATAGCTCTTCCCCAAGATCCTCCGGTATGTAAGGCTGGGTTGAGGTACAGCAATCCTGCTAGCAGCTGCAGCTAAACTAGCAGACTTTATCCCACAGCTGGTTCCTTTCTTTCCAAGGGACTCGCCCAGAGTCTCTGCTTCCCATGTTTAAGACACCTCACTCGATAAGAGCACTTCACTCGGCTTTGTCTATTGGGTGGTTTACAAAACTTAGATGATAGTGTGCATCCTAACCCAAAACATCCCATAAAGGTTAATTGAAAATTATAACTTTACTGATGAATTTAGTGATATCTAAAGATTATTGACTGAGCTAGGCCACAGTCTGTAAGTCTTCTGATGAGAAGTATTTTAAGATGAGTTAGAGGCCGGCGCCGCGGCTCAATAGGCTAATCCTCCACCTGCGGTGCCAGCACACCGGGTTCTGATCCTGGTTGGGGCACCGGATTCTGTCTCAGTTGCTTCTCGTCCAGGCCAGCTCTCTGCTGTGGCCCAGGAGTGCAGTGGAGGATGGCCCAGGTCCTTGGGCCCTGCACCCACATGGGAGACCAGGAGAGGCACCTGGCTCCTGGCTTCGGATCAGTGCTGGCCGCAGTGGCCACTGGGGGATGAACCAACAGAAAAGGAAGACCTTTCTCTCTGTCTCTCTCTCTCTCACTGTCCACTCTGCCTGTCAAAAAAAAAAAAAGATGAGTTAGAAAATATTCTTGCAGCTATCATTGTTTATGTGGAAAGCTGAAGCACTTTTTTTTATCAATTCAAGTTTTGAAAAATCCTGCTTTTTTATATTTCTGTAATGTCCAAATTTATTTATCACATGATTTATAACTATACCAAATTTAAAAGACAACCCTGTTTTTCCTCTTTTTCATGTCACAGATTTCTCTTGTTGATTCTCCTATCAAAAATTGCCTCTGCATACACAGAGATGACATCGTTGCCTGCCAGATGGAGAGCAGCCTGATTTCTCCCATCAGCTTTGGGAAGAGCCCCTTCAATTCTGACACCACAAAGCATGAACACAGCTTTGGTAAGAGCTCCGTGATTGTGACCACAGTGAGAGCACGGCAGGTCCGCAGTTAAATTTCTCTGGCTGTGGTGAGAAATAAACAACAAGGTTCCCAGAGATTGTGGGTGGTACTTAGACAGTGTCTGTCCTGGTTCCCAGGGCCAATCCCAAGGACAAGAGTGCATAGCCCTTAGCTGTGTCTGCTCTGTCCCAAAGCCAGAACAGATCAGGAATGGTTTCCTATTGTCTTGTGAATGAAGAGAAGATACCATGAATTCTTTGACCTAATATAGTTACTGATGCAAATTATAACTGCATGAAAGACATCATGTGATAATACTTTGGAAACACGTTTTAACTAAATTTAAGCAGATCCCATATGTGTAAGGGTACCTCACAGATTTTTGTGGCAACACAGAATTACAATAGCATTTTATTTCAGTGCTAAGGAATTCAAAGTAATGCATCCTCCCTTTATCCCAGGCATACATACACAGAATGGAAAATTGCTTTGGCATCAATTTAAAGTAATACTTTCAGTATTTCATTCTCCACAAGATTGTTGTCAGACATTTAATAAGTGTGTTAGTGTAAAACTCCCTTGAGGGACTACAATATTGCCTCCCACCTCACACTCTGTAGGACCTGAGGCAACAGTTTTGTAGTGCCCATTGAAGGAGTTACTAAAGGAATACAATCTAGGAAAAAGCACTCGGTTTGATGTAAAGAGCGCCAAAACCTGTGCCATCATTTACCAATGATGTTATCTTTGGCAAATATTCTCTGTCAGTCTCAGTTTGGTATCACAAAATAGAAATAACTGGAATATTTGCGTTTTAGGATATCCTTAGCACAAAATAGGGCAATGGTTGTAAAAATAAATTTACTTTACAAAAGCATGAATAGGGCTAGGAGAAGTTTCTGTGAGCCTAGAAACTAATACTATTCAAAGCAAGGTAATACAGCCGAGAGCCAACTGCCCATTTTGTAGGGGTGGATATTTTGGCACACGTATGAAGAGTTCCTTCCTATTTTTTTCATTTTCCAGTTCTAATGACCATAACATTGTTTTTGGGACATAAGTAGGAATATCTATTTCTTTAGAAGTTGAGATGCATCTGCTATCTGAGAGTATTTGTACTAAAAAACCTGTTTTTCCTTCAACAGAAGAAATGCAACAAAGTCTTGAAATTAGTTTGATGCCAATTATATCAATGGACAAACAGGCACAACTGAAGGATGATGCCAAGCCCATAACTGGTAGGGACCTACCCAGCTTTACGTCCATTTTCTAAGATATAAAAGAGTAGAACCTTCAATATAAGCATGGACTCTGCTTTTCCTTTGTTTCTTCTATTGTTTTGCTGATAACTATTTATCCAAAATGTTTGCAGGCTTTCTCTGAGATTAAATTAAATCCTCACATTCTATCACATAATAGATGTATATCTGGCAAAAAAATTATGATGAGGAACATTATGTCGAGACATACCATTTTTGATAGTGTTTTCCGTCCTTTGCTTTGAACATGAGTTTCCCTGTAAAATTGTGAAAGCCACAACTTCGTAAATGTCTATGCCGTTGCCTCTGGATATTGCTTTGTCAGTCTCCTCAAATAGGGTATGGGCAAGATTCATTTTTCCTTGCATATTTACATGTATAATCTGTAGTTGCTGGCTTTTTCTTCTCCATCATCTGTTCCTCTCTTGAGATGAGTGACCCATTTGCACAGAGTTGACTTTTTGTGGCATTGTTTCCATCAAATTTCCGTGAAGCATAAATGAATTCACCATTCTTCTATTCTTGCTTCACAATAAAGTTTATATTAATTACTTCATCAATATTGGCAGAAAATCTACTGCTCTTATGTCTTTTCAACTGGATGTCTTTCCCTTCCTAGTTCCTCAAATTATCCTATTCATATGTTATAAAACATAAATATGAATTTATTGTGGTGCTGTAACTTCTAAAATATTTATGTTGAAAAAATTACAGAAGGGGGAGATATTCCAATTGCTGGCTACCTCCCAAGATGGCCACAATGGCCAGCACAGGGCTAGGCAGAAGATGGGAACTAGGGCCTTCATTTGGGTCTCTCACATGGGTGGCAGGGACCCAAGCACTTGTAACATCTTACACTGTTTTCCAAGGCCAGTAGCAGGGAGGTAGGTGGAAATGGAGAAGCCAGGGCATGAACTGTCACTCTTAAGAGATGCCAGCGTCACAGGCAGTGGCTCAGCACATTGCACCTGTATACTGGCTCCCAGTGTTGCATTTTTAAAAGACATTTATCTGAAAGGCAAAGTTACAGAGGCAGAGGCGGGGGGGGGGGGGGGAGAGATTTACGGTATCATAGTAAATATTCTTATGGAAGAAATAGTGATTATGTAATTTATCTCATGTGTGTGACCACTTGTAAAAGGCATATTTCAAAGGCAGCATTTCAGAGAAAAAGAGAAAGAGACAAAGAAAGGGATCTTCCATCCATTGATTTATTCCTAAAATAGAAGCAATGGACAGCCTGCCTGGTCAAAGCTAAGACAATGGAGCTTTAAGTAGTTTTCCCAAATGTGTTGCTGTAGCTTGAGCGCTTGGGCCCCACTTCGCTGCTTTCCCAGATGGAGTAGCAGGAATCTGGATGAAGAACAGAATACCCAGGACTTGAATCAGCATTACAATATGAGATGACTGCATGGCAACTAACCACACTGCCACATAACACATGCCCCTGTAAACATTTTTCTGACTACTTATTTCTTTTAGTATTTGTGTAGAAGCTCACCTGATCACTCTGATCACATCTGGGCTACTCATTGGCCTGCAATCAACTGACAATTTGACTGTTCATACATGTCCAAGAATAGGGACACCAGTTGTGTAAAATGAATCAAGCTATATGTTCAAGTGTAACTGAAGCAAACATTGACAAAAGTTGACATCCAAGAGTTGGGTGAATTTAACAATTTAATTGTGTATTTGGTTTCTTCCTTCTTCATTTGAAAATGGTAGGTGTATGAGTTCTGGGTAGAGGTGGCATTGTTTTATGACTGTGTATCTATCCCAGAGGCTACTAAATGAGATGGAGAACTGGAATGAAATGTACTACTGGGGGAGGAGAACGAGGTGTAGGCTCTCTTGGGTCAAATGAATGAGAGAGAAAGTTGCTTTCATCAAGGATGCCAAGAGTAAGAAGCCTGTTGAGTATTCTATTACCAAGTCCCCAAAGATGTAAGTAGCATCAATCATGTCTAAGATGAGCAATTTGAAAATCACCAAATTTTGATTAGCTTGCCCAATAGAGTCATCTTGTTTTCTCTGACTCACCACTATGATCTCATATGTGCAATGATAATGTACTCCATGAACTGAAGTGTGATAAAACTTTTCTAGAGAAACCTTGCCCATTAGTTAATCAGATTATATCTCAGCTATGCAGGTGAAAATGGAAGGTACTTGGTAAGTGAGTTTATAGGATGAAAAATTAATGCAACTTATTGAGAAAGTGTGCACAGCTGCATAGGAGACACTTTAATGTCAGCTATTTTTGCTTTGAAAAGCAGCTGTTGGTCAGCACTGACTTTGCTGATGTTGCTGACTAGTCAAAATGATTTGGTTTACTTGGCCAGGTATTAGAATGAAAAGGCAATGGAGGATCATCCCACGCAACCAAGGATTGTGACTTGATGCTGCCAGCCCTCTTGAGTGAAGCTGTGTCAGAAATGACAGAGTTCTGTGATGTGAGATACTTGGCAATGCATGTCACTCAAAATGATGGAGGAAACCTCAAGACGTAGAAACCCTACTTTGAAAGCATGTGATTATGAATATTTGGAAAGATATCTGACCCATGAGCCTACTGATTACAGTTAACATCAGGATATTTGTACCTCAGCATACCAAGCACTTCCTAATATGATACAACAGGCTGTGGTTGGCACTCAAGGAAGTACTCCCACAGTGTGAATTGAACCCAAGTCTGTTCAGGTTCTAGATTTCACTAATTCCTAAGTTGTGGGGAATGAGAATGCATTCTTAGCACACGAATGTGTGTTTTGAAACAAATTTCAGAATATAGACCTTTCTATGCAACAGCTGACTCGTTTTTTTCTAGCCAATTCAGGAAATGTACAGTCATCTAGAAATGGTAGAAATGAGGTTCCATGAATGGAACTCTGCATCTAACCATCTCACTTCTTCCACAGATTCTCACATAAAGCTTACTCAAAAACAGCATCCCACTAAAAAGAGGCTATGTCGGCATGTCTTAGGCAGAAACCACAACAAGTTGGTACCAGCACCAGCACCTGATCTGCCCATATCCCAGCAAGCACCACTATTTGGGTCCCCCCTGCAAGATGTGTGCAAAAATGACAAGCTGCCAAAGCCAATTTTGGTAAGTCTCAGTTTAGTGTTCTATGGCCCAATGTTGTTGAGCGTACTTGGTGAGGTAATATTTCCTCATTCATGTGTGTCCTCAAATGGAGAAATCATGAGAGAGGTGCTGGCTTTGTGTGACAAATTTTGTCCACACTGCACATCGAATAGTCTGATTTAGTTATTGACCTGTGAAGAGGCAAAGATAACAGATAGAAACAGACTCTGTATTACTGGCATCAGCAAATACCACACACACCTGTGCAGAGAAATTAGAATGTGCTCTGGATGTCTGAGTATAAGTCTACTTCCCCTTCACATTCTCTTGCTGGTTTCTTCAGAAGTTGAACTCTCTGCTCAGCTGAAGTCTTCTTTCATTTCCTCTTAGAGTAGGATACTCACTTGGACAACTTATCGTATCTCACATGTATTTCTTTCCCTCTGAAGTGCTTCAACTCAAAAATTCACCCTCCAATATGTACCCATCTTTTCATCCTAACACATCCTGTAAAATGAAATATACGGATTTGGGTCTGTGTAACTGAGAATTATATTAAAGCTTCCAGTGATAACATTTTGTGAGCGTCCATTATCTCTGCCAGCTAAACATGCAGTCTAGAGAATTTTACTCTGTATTCAAGGAACTTCACCAGTTTAGATACTCGGTATATATCACACTAGATTTAGCTCTTTCACAAAAAGTGTAGGGGGCATCTACGTGTGTCATCATCCACATCTCACCAAATGAATAAAGTGAAGCTTTAGTGTTCTGTTCTGTCTAGTGTCACTGATTAAATGAGTGGACAATGCCCTGGATCGTCTTATTATGATGCTTATTCCTTTTCTGCACTAGACATGAAGATAGAGCAGTAGCAAATGAAATCTTGGCGAGCAGGGAATGCATTCAAAGAAGGCTTCAGCAAGATGACAGGTGTAAGCCTAGTTTAAAAAGAGAATTGAAACTATAGGAGGATAGAGATGAAGTGTATAGTCACCAGCAAGATAACAAATTTGGAAATGCAGTTAGCACAAAGATGCTGCACTTAGAGGTAATCACTGATATTTGAGAAGATTGAGCACAGAACGGTAATTTACAAGAGGATGATTCAATAGCAGTTTTCTAGCAGAGAATTTGGATTGTAAAGTATAAAATTCCCAGAAAGAGCCGTATTGTAAGATCTACACCTCAGTTGTTTTTTGTGGTATATCAGATATGAATATGAATGGTTGGTGTTCCAAAATGTAGAGATATAACAAAATAAAATTTTTCAGTGTTGATTTCATTATGTGCCTGCAGACCTGAAACCTCACCAATGCTGTAACAGGATACACTGGCTTTCTGTGCTTATGGATATGAAATGTCATATAATATCATTTCTTCCATTTTACTCATAGGATATGCTTTTCATAATTGATCAAAAAGGTCCTGCCACAAAGGCCATCTTCAGCAAATGTGCCACCTTTAAAGACCGTCTAGCTCTAAAGGAGAAATTAAATTCCAGAGAGTGTGTCGACTGGGAAAACGCATGCCCTATTGTGGTAGCAACTGTCTTGAAGGTAGGGGAAGTACTGACATCATCCATGCATGGTATGGAAGCCCAGAGTTGCATTATTTTCACCAAGTGTATCCCAAGCCATGAATAGGCATAAAGAATTCAGGTTCTGAAAAACATGACACAAACTGCACATTAAGTGAAGACAGTCTCCAGGCTGTTCAAAACCTCATAGTTTACATTTGCTTTGAGTTCAGAGACTTCGCTCTCCTTCCCACTCTATGGGAAATACTGTAGCATTGTTAATACTATTCACAAAACAATGCCAAAACATACCCTTCTCCATGAAGAATGGTGACCCAAAGCAGCATCTTTTATCTGATGACTTTACCCTGTTTTTCTAGCACATGTCCATCTTCAAACAAAGCAAAACAAAACACTTATCAAGAATTTGAATACTGTTAGAGAAGATTTCTGTGGCAAGCACACAATTTCCTAATATGAATCAGCAACAGCCAAAAGGCACATCTAAATGTCCACTTGTTTCTTCATCGTGCTTTCCTTTGTCTCTTACTCCTTCATATTCAAAGTCGTTTGAGTTGTTCCAACAGTTGTGCCTTCCTCCATGTTTACTACCTCTGGAATGCTGGTCCAGTTATGACTGTGTTCACCACACAGCCCACTGCAAGGAATACTGAGAAATTTACTGCCACCACAACTTGATTTGGAAGTCAAACTATGAATGCAAATGCGGTGGATACAATTAGTCTGATACTGCAAGCATTCAATGGATCCATGAAAAACAAATGTGTTTGGAAATAAAAGAGCTAAGCCAAATATACGCAGGTGCATATCCATAAGGGGAAGTAGTAGAACATAGAAAGAATGTAATCCATCAGTTTTGGTACTTAATAATAGCTGTGAATCTATACATGTTTCTGAAAATTCCTTGAGATTTGGACACGGGCTTCCCTATCTCCGAATTCCCCTTTTTCTGTCAGATAAGTAGCACATGTTCAGTAATGATTGGTAACTGACCACATGTTATACACCATAATAAAAACAACAAAGTGAGTGTTGGCCTCAGAAAGGTATGTTCATAAAATGAAATTGATATTCAAGTCAGGTTCAAGACCATTCCTCTGAAGACTTTGCAATCTGGGCCTTTATAATACCATGTCAAACGCTGGGGAATTCTTCTAGGTTATAAAAGCTATAGGATCAGTACCACAATGATTTTTTTCATTGAATAATCTATTTGCATAGTGCAAATAGATTTGGCAGTTTTTGCTTGGGTTGTGTTCTGAGTCTACTCACTTATGCCACCAATGGCTCAAAATCATGGGACCAGAAAATTAGAAAGAAGATGGGATGCCACCTCATGTGAGTTTAGTACACATTAGCCAAAGATGTTCCCAGGCCTGCCTAAATGCAGAGCCAGTCAAAGCTTTAGGACTTCTCTTCTCCAGACTCATAGCATGTTCCATGGTACAAAAACTGATGCCTGTCTCCTACAGGAGGTTGTTGCACACCAATAATGTAGTGAATACCACTTACTGATTCCAGCAAAGCGTGTAAAAAATAACTTGTAGCCACGTATGGAAAATTCGGTAACATACGAAAGAAATTTCTATGTGAAACTGAACAGAATTTCTAAAAAGGAAGGAAGGCTGAGTTTGCTGTGGAAGTTTCTTCCCTTGCGCACACAGCTCAAGGTAGAGGGCTGAACCCTCACTTCTGTATTAGCAGAAATGCATGAGAGGGGGTATTACTTGATTTGAACCATTCCTGTTAAGAACTAAAATGTCATGACCTGAAATGAACAGGTAAAATGTGTGCACTCCATTTCATGTCAAGAAAACAACAGAAGCAAGAATGGTGTATCATGAGATCTTATAACTCTGTACTAGTTTCCTCAATCGTACATAAAAAGGGAGTGTCAGATATGAGAGGAGACTGTTTTTCAGAGTCGCTGCTGTCCACACCCTGATTTTATGCTGATGCATTTCATCAGGAAATTCAAGCTCATGCTGCTACTTCTTGAAATTGGTGGAGAGTTGTAGCCAAGCTCTGTGTGAATCAGTTTGGGTAGCACTGAAGCAGTTGAGGATTAAACGTCACTGTTTAATTTTTAGGATGCTAACACATGCATGTTCCATGAGAATAATACATGTTTTTATCTATAAAAGGATTTACTTCAAAACATACCTGGAAGCATACTTACAGTCAATTTCTATGAAAAATTCATTGGTGTTCTGGATGAAGGAAATGAGGAAGCCAAGATAGCCATGAGTAAGAGGTAAAGATGTGATACTTACTCTTTTCCGTATGCCACAAAAGTACAAGCAACATTCTCTCAGCAAAGTATCAGCTTGAAATTTACCCTTTTATCCACTTACATTATCACCAATGTCAGCACTTTGATTTTGTCACACATGTGGACACCAGTTTAGAAAGAAATGCATTCCTTGCTACTGCCATTCAGCTTTTGTTTCTCTCCTAACATCCTTCATCTTTGTACACATCCTGAATATATGACACTGATACAGGAGTAAATCCATTGGTTTTTTTAAACATTTATTTTATTTCCTTGAAAGAGTTACAGAGAGAGGTAGAGACAGAGGAAGGAGAGAGGCCTTCCATCCGCTGGTTCACTCCCAGAGCTGAGTTGATTCGAAGCAAGGAGCAAGGGAGCTTTTTCCAGGTCTACCATGTGGGCACAGTGTCCCAAAAACTTGGACCATCCTCACTGCATTCCCCATGCACATTAGCAAGGAACTGGATTGGAAATGGGGCAGCCAGGACCCAAACCAGAGCCAGTATTGGATGCAGGCACTGAAGGCTAGGCTTTAACCCTTTGTGCACAGCCCCGGCCCCAGTAAATCCATTGGTAGAGGACAAATCAGCTGGTGATTTTTGTTTAATGGTGCCAAATAGATAGTGAACCAGAGAAGTCTACAGGTGATCAAGAATTGAATTCAACAAAACATTTTCCTAGGAATTCATACCTGGCTTGAGTCACTCAAGATAAATGAAGAGCTTTTATCTCGTCACAAAGCAGCATTCTTGTGCTACTGCTTTATAAATGAGAAGAGTGCATTGTTTCCACTTCTGTTTTCATTCAGTAGGCTTTATAATTGGCCACATTCTAAAGTGGAAGAATGTTTCAGGTATGCTTCTGTTAACTTAGATATGAATAGTATTTGCTGTGTTGAACACAGGATGTAATAAAAGTCACACAAAATATTTCAAAGATAATTTGGTACATTTTCTCCACTATTTTTGTTGTATTTTACCAATGGTATAGAAGATTTTTTTCCTGTTTGAGAGGAAAACATCCTGAGTTAAAATTCTTGCTTTAATGATGCCTTTTTCTGTTTTCAGGCTTTTAGCACAGCTGCCCAAACCAAACGTTCATCTCCTGCAATCTCTCTTTCGCTGTTTACACAAGATTTCACAGAAATCACCCTCGAAGGAGATGACAAGTTCTAACTTGGCATGGTGCATTACCCCAAGTCTTCTATGGCCACCAGTTGCCAGCATCCTAGATATAGCAACGGAATGGGAGAAAAAGGTGATTTTTATTTCCTATGGAGTACAGTCTCCACTTTGATCCTAAAATTTAGTATCTTAGTTCTGATGGAGTATTTGCTAATTGCACGTGTTAGGTACTCCTCTGCAGAGGCAGCTATTTATCCTTTGCTGCAGTTACGGGTGGGTGAGGCATTAGGTAGGACTTTGGGAGCAGGGAGCATTTCATTCCTATGAAAGATCAGAACACCAGATTGAAGATATCACAGAGGGGAAGGTGAAACGATGTGATAGAAATCAATTTGGACAAAACAAGTTTTAAATTTGAGTCTCATCTGATATTTAACAATCGTTCCAGGCCAAGCTTTGATCATATAATAATTTCAGTAGTTACAATACCAAAGGAGCAGAGTGAAATTGCTTAGTAGGCCTGGAAAATGAGGACACATGCTATGAACTTTCTGTGCTAATTGTGATTCAGAATAATAATGGGTTCATCTCTGCCATTGGAATGTGTAATTGGGAGCTTCTATATGCCAAATAGGACATTAGCCTTTCCCCAAGCTGATCTGGAAAGCAAGGCTGGGGTGATGTATGACAGTGTGCAAAGACACACTATCAGAAATTTCTGTCTCCACAGCCTACTTTCTTTTTTCATAAAGATTTATTATATTATTTATATGAAAGTCAGAGTTACACAGTGAGAGAGGAGAGGCAGAGAGAGAGAGAGAAAGAGAGAGAGAGAGAGAGAGAGAGAGGTCTTCCATCTGCTAGTTTACTCCCCAATTGGCTGCAATGGCCAGAGCTGCGCCATTCTGATGCCAGGAGCTTCTTCCAGGTCTCCCACGCAGATGCAGGAGCCCAAGGACTTGGCCATCCTCTACTGATTTCCCAGGCCATAGCAGAGAGCTGGATCTGAATTGGAACAGCCAGGCCTCGAGCCAGCACCCATTTGGGATGCCGGCACTGCAGGTGGCAGCTTGCCTGCTATGCCACAGCACCAGCCCCTCCAACAGCCTACTTTCTTGTCAGAAGAACACACTGAGATACCCTGCTCCACATGTTGACAACACTTTACACAGGAAGTGAATTTTCCAAATGTGTATCTACTGGGTCCTTTACAAATTTTAGGACAAGAATACACATCTTCATTGCAATTATCCTAGGGAATGTTAATTGAATTAAAATATTTCTAAACATATTGTCATTGAAATAAAATGCTAAAAACTAGTTAAGCCAGAAATAATAATGTTAATGCATTGACTAGAAGTACTTAAAGATTTGTCCCCTAAAACTCAAAGAATCTGACATTTCATATAGAAAATAGGTTTATGTATTTTATGACAGCTCTGAATTTTTCTCTTCTGATTTTCAAATTTTTGTAAGACCCAAGATTCATATACAAAATATGATTTCTCTTGATGCCAAAGTAAACCTACATCAACCACTTTTTGCTCTTTTTTTCAGGTTGCTCTTGTACAATTCTTGCTTGACCACTGTTCTGAGATTTTTGGAGACAGCATCACTTCCACCATCAGAGATCACCCAAAACATAGGGACCACTACCAGAAAGTTTCAGGTACCATGATTCATTTAAGTGCCTTTGATGGCAACTAGATGGACATACTGGTGGGATCATGAATGATGTTCACACAGTGTCTACCTGGGAGACCAGGGCATGTCTAAAGGACCACAGTGAGGGGCCCAGGAAGCAGTATGTTCCCTCATCACAAGCTGGCCTCAGGTTTCAAACTTACACCTGTGAAGTGATGGAAATGTAAGGCGAGGCCCAGATTTCAGGAGCATTAAGAGACTTCATAGTCAACGTGATCCTGTTTAACATAAGAGTGGGAATAAGAGAGGGAAGGGATGTATAATTTGGGACATGCTCAAGCTGACTTGCCCCAAATGGTAGAGTTAGAAACATACCAGGGGATTCCAATTCAATCCCATCAACACGGCATGTACCAATGCCATCTCACTAGTCCAAGTGATCAATTTCCATTCACAATTGATCATAATTAGGACTAAGAATCAGAGAGATCACATAATCATGACTAGTGTCTGAAAATACTAACCGATAGAGCAAAAAAGGGAGAGAATGATCCAACATGGGAAACGAGATACACAGCAGACTCATAGAATGGCAGATGTCCTAAACAGCACTCTGGCCTCAGAATCAGCCCTAACAACATTCGGATCCGGCTGAAAAGCCCATGAGAGTATTTCAGGCATGGAAAGCCAAGACACTCCGGAAAAAAAAAAAAAATGACCTAAATGAAAGGTCTCTGCGAGGGAGATCCCAGTGGAAAGAACAGGTCATCAAAGAAGGAGGTACCTTTCTCTGAAGGGAGGAGAGAACTTCCACTTTGACTATGACCTTGTCTAAATAAGATAAGAGTCGGTGAACTCAAAAGACTTCCATAGCCTTGGCAGCTCATGACTAGAGCCTAGGGTGATTACTGATGCCATAAACAAGAGTGTCAATTTGTAAAGTCAACAACAGGAGTCACTGTGTACTTACTCCTCATGTAGGATCTCTGCCCTTAATGTGCTATACATTGTGATTTAAGGCTATAACTAGTACTCAAACAGTATTTTTCACTTTATGTTTCTGTGTGGGTACAAACTGTTGAAATCTTTACTTAATGTATGCTAAACGGATTTTCTGTATATAAAGAGAATTGAAAATGAATCTTGATGTGAATGGAAGGGGAGAGGGAGTGGGAAAGGGGAGGGTTGCGGGTGGGAGGGAAGTTATTGGGGGAAAAGCCATTGTAATACATAAGCTGTACTTTGGAAATTTATATTCATTAAAAAAAAGATATTGGAGGTGATCCAAATGTCCAGTAAATTAGTTGAGTAAACTAAGGTAGAGTCAATGATACCTCTTTGTAATCAGTATTACACTATAAAGATGCACCACTAATTAAACAAAATCAAATTTTAAAATAATACATAATTTTTGAACAATCATATAAAATAAATGTTAATGAGTGAATATTTTGGTTCATACTCATGGTTGGCTGGTTAGGATTACGAGTGAATTTTATTTTCTTATGTTTACTTATTTGTGTCTTCTGTCTTTTGTTTAATTAATATGTACCACTTGTATGCACTAGCTCTTTTTAAATAGCACATTAAAATAAATGTATAACTTGTACTGACAAAAAAAAGAGAGACTTCATAGTCTATGATATAGTAGCTGGATCCTTTCTCACGTAAGTTTAAGGGAACCCTACCATTTGCGTATACTCCAGAAAGCAGCTCTATGTATGGAATTTAAGCCTGAGTTTATTTTCTTAATTATTTGGATAAAAGAGTTGGGGCTGGCATTGTGCTACAATGAGTTAGCTGCTACTGTGACACCAGTACCCAGTGCAAGTTCAAGTCTCAGCTACTTAACTTCCAGTCCGACTCCCTGCTGATGTCACTGGAAGTCAGCAAATGATGAAACAAGTTCTTCAGCCTCTGCACCCTTGTCGGACATCAGTGTAGATTTCTGGATCCCGGCTTTGCTTAACCCAGCATTACCTATTGCAATCAATAGTGGAGTAAGACAGTTGATGGAAAAAGTTCTCTCTGTCTCTTTCTCTCTCTGCCTTTCACATAAATAAGTAAATAACCAAGAAAATGGACCCAGAGAGACAGACACTGGTGAGCAAATCTTGTTTGCTGGTTCGTACCCACAATAACTGCAGTTCTGGGGCCTAAGCTGGGCCAAAGTCATGAGGGAAAGTAATCCTCTTCTCCTGTTTACATGGCAGCAAACCAGCTCCTGAAACCAACACTTATATTTAAGTTAATTTTGTTAGAAAAATAATTGAAGTTGCATTGAAGGAGACTTACTATGAATATATGTGATTATGAATTTTAACTTTATTTGCATACAAAATGCCTTTTATCTTTTGAAAAGTGATCTGACTCGTGAGCTCACTGATTATAGTAATACTAAGCACCTCTTACTGCAGTAAAACAGGCTGTGGCTAGCACTGTCCAGGAAGTACACCCACAGGAAGAACTGAACGCAACACTGTTCAGGCTCTAGGTTTCACTACCATTTCATCAAAGGCATAGAAGTAGAATACATCCACACTGCATGAGTGCTTTGAACAAATTTCAGGGTCCAGGCCTTTCTATGTAACACTGACTCACTGTCTTTTTTTTTCTAGCCATTTCAGGAAACATGGAGTCATCTGGAAATGCTGAGGGTCTGCCTCCTGCTTCAGATCCACACCAGAAGCCAACTCAGAAACGGCATTCCATTAAAAAATGGCTGTCTGAGCATATCAGGGGCAGGAAACACAGCAAGGTGGCACCAGAAACTTCTACGCCCACATACCAGCAAGCAAAGATATTTGGATCAATTCTACAAGATGTTTGCAAAGATGACAAGCTGCCAAAGCCAATTCTGGTAAATCCCACTCGATCCTCTATGGCCCAGTATTGTTGCGTGTACTTAGTGAGGTGCTATCTCTTCACCCCTATATATCCTCAAATGGAGAAGTCATGAGAAAACTGCTAGCTTTGGGTGACAAACTTTGCCCATACTATTCACTGAATGTATCTTAGTTCTTGCCCTGTGGAGAGGCAAACACAACAGACAGAAACAGACTGTGTCTACAGCACTGGCATCAGCAAACACCACATACACCTACGCAGAAAAATCAGAATAGGCTTGGGTTTCTGATTCTCGGTGAGGCCATTTCCCCTTCCCATTCTCCTGTCGGCCTCTTCAGAAGCTGAACACTGCACAACTCACATTTTCTTTCCTTTCCTCTTAATGTAGGATACTCACTCTGACAACTCATCATATCTCACCTCTATTTCCTTTATCTCTCAAGTGTTTCAATACAAAAATTCACTCTTTAGCATGTATTCATCCTTTCCTTGTGACACATCCTGTCACATGAAGCCTACAGCTTTGGACCTTTATAACTGAGAATGATTAAGTTTGCAGTGGTAACATCTGCTGAGTGTCCGTTATCTGTGCCAGCTCACATGTAGAGAATTTTAGTCTATGTGTGAAGAAATTTTTCGGCATGGTATAAGTTGCCATATTCACAGAAAATGTAGGGAGTGTCTATGTGTTTCATCATGCACACCTTACTAAACAATGAAGACTTAATGTTCCGTTGTATTTAGGTCACTGATGTAAAAAGGGTGGCATAATATATGGACAAGGCCTTTGGTTGTGTTATTCTGATTCTTATTCTATTTCTGTACTGGACATGAAGATAGAGCAATAGGAAATGAAAGGCTGATGGGAAGGGAATACAATCAATGAAGGCCTCATCAAGGTGTCGAGTTTTAGTTTAAAAAGAGAATTGGAAGTATAGGAAGGTAGGGATGAGGTATGTAGTAACCATAAGGATAAGAAACTGGGACTTGCATCTAGCACAAATTTGCTCACACTTGGGGACTGTGATTGATATTTGTGAAGAAAATACAGAATGGTAAATTACAAGATGATTCTGTAGAGGCCTTGATGCAGAGAACTTGAATTTTAGATCTCAAACATCCTGAAAAGAACACTAGTGTGAAATTAGGCATCTAAGATATTTTACTCTGTGAATATCAGATACGAATACGGGCTACTGCTGTTCCAAAATGTATTCAGAGACACAAAAATGGAAATTCTAGTGTTGGTTTCATTATGTGCCTCCAGACCTGAAAGCTCACATATTTTAACTATCTATCTTAACAGAAATATACTTCCACTCTGGGCTTATGACTATGAAAGGTCATATAATATCATTTCTTTCATTTTACCCACAGGATATGCTTTTCATAATTGATCGAAAAGGTCCTGCCACAAAGGCCATCTTCAGCAAATGTGCTAACTTTAAAGACTGTCTAGCCTTAAAGGAGAAATTGAATGCTGGAGAGCGGGTTGACTGGGAAAACGCATGCCCTATTGTGGTAGCAACTGTCTTCAAGGTAGGGAAGGCAGTGGCACCATGCGGCAGATCACATTCTTCACGGTTGCTCCCAGCCAACAATAGGCTTAAAAATTCGGATTCTGAAAAACATGACACAAACAGCACATCGAATGCAGCCACTCTCAATGCTATTCAATATCACATGAACCACATATGCCTTCTTTTATTTCAGAGACTTCACTTTCCTTCTATCTCAGTGCACTGTATAAGAAAATCATAGCATTAATACTATTCACAATGTCAAAACATACCCTTCTCCATGAGAAAATATGACCTGAATTATCATGCATTTGATGATTTTCACCTTAACAAATGGCTATTTTCCAAAAGAAGGACCTAATTAAGCATTTGAAAACTGCTGGAGAAGTTTTCTGTGGCAATCCCACAATTACCTAAAGTGAATAAACAAGTGCCCAAGGGGATCATCAACATTTCCCTTCATTTCCTCTCTATGTCTTTGTCTCTCATGCCTTCACATTTAAGGTGGTATGAGTCATGAATATTTGCATCTTCCTTTACTTTTAACACCTCTGGAATGGTTGTTCCCTTGTTACTGTGTCTATCACAAAACTCACATTACTGAATGTAGAGTAATTACACCACAGGCCTTGACTTGTAAATTAGACTGTGCATGCAGGTGTAATAGAAACAATTAGTTTGAGATTCTGAACATTCAAGTAACCTCTATGAAAAATAAATCCATTTGGAAATGAAAGAATTCAGACATTTGCAGGTACATTTAAAACATAGAAAAATCAAATCTATCCATCTTGCTGCTCAGTAATAGCTGTCAACCTAGAGATGGTATTGAAAATTGCATGAGGTTGAGACACTAGGGCTTCTCTAGTCCCGAATTCCTATTTGTCACCAGATGAATATCACTGGTTCTGAAATATTTGTAATTGGCCATACTATATGCACATAATATGAACAACAAATTGAGTTTTGCCCTCAGAAAGGTATGCTCATAAAATGGACTTAATTTCCCAACAGACTCCAAGTTATCCCTCTGAAAACTTTGCACACCGACCCTTGATAAAACCATGTCAAATAACAAGGGAGTTATTCTAGACTAGGAAAATTACAGGATCAATACCACAATGATTCTTCCACTAAATCATCTATTTGTATATCACACATAACTTTTGTGTCTTATGCTTGTGTTGTGTTCTGGGTACACTACACTGCTCTGCCAATGGTTCAATAACATGGAATCCAGGAAAGCAGTGAGTAGGTAAGATGCAACTACATTTGAGTCTGGCACACATTTGCCAAAAGTGCCCCCAGGCCTGCCAAAATCTCAGAGCCAGCCAGAGATTTAGGACTTCGCTTCTCCAAATGTTGGCATATTCCATGGTATCAAAGTGAATACGTATTTCTCCTTCTGAATATTATCCCACACCAATGATATATTAGATTAAAAGGATTAGGATTGTGTCCCTTCTCTTCACTGTACTATTATACTCCTCTCTTTATGACAAAGAGTAGATCTTAAATATTAAAATGAGAAAGTCATTTTACTATAAATAAAGTCACTGAAGTACTTTGAAACATTCCTACGCCTGACCCTTGCTCACCCACCATAATTATGGTTTCATTGATCAAGACTAGAATAAGCTATCTGTATTCCTCCAGGTGATTTTAGAATGCAGCATGGGCTATATGATTATCTCAATAGATGCAGAGAAAGCATTTGATAAAATTCAACACCCTTTCATGATGAAAACTCTAAGCAAAGTGGGTATAGAAAGAAATTCCTCAATACAATCAAAGCAATCTATGAAAAACCCACAGCCAGCATCCTATTGAATGGGGAAAAGTTGGAAGCATTTCCACTGAGATCTGGTACCAGACAGGGATGCCCACTCTCACCACTCCTATTCAATATAGTTCTGGAAGTTTTAGCCAGAGCCATTAAGCAAGAAAAAGAAATTAAAGGGATACAAATTGGGAAGGAAGAACTCGAACTATCCCTCTTTGCAGATGACATGATTCTTAACTTAGGGGATCCAAAGAACTCTACTAAGAGACTACTGGAACTCACAGAAGAGTTTGGAAAAGTAGCAGGATATAAAATCAATGCACAAAAATCAACAGCCTTTGTATACACAGGCAATGCCACAGCTGAGAAAGAACCGCTAAGATCAATACCATTCACAATAGCCACAAAAAAAAAACAATCAAAAACCTTGGAATAAACTTAACCAAGGATGTTAAAGATCTCTTCGATGAGAATTACAAAATCTTAAAGAAAGAAATAGAAGAGAATACCAAAAAATGGAAAAATCTTCCATGCTCATGGATTGGAAGAATCAACATCATCAAATGTCCATTCTCCCAAAAGCAATTTATAGATTCAATGCAATACCAATCAAGATACCAAAGACATTCTTCTCAGATCTGGAAAAAATGATGCTGAAATTCATATGGAGACACAGGAGACATCGAATAGCTAAAGCAATCTTGTATAACAAAAACAAAGCCGGAGGCATCACAATACCAGATTTCAGGACATACTACAGGGCAGTTGTAATCAAAACAGCATGGTACTGGCACATAAACAGATGGATAGACCAATGGAACAAAATAGAAACACCAGAAATCAATCCAAACATCTACAGCCAACTTATATTTGATCAAGGATCCAAAACCAATCCCTGGAGTAAGGACAGTCTATTCAATAAATGATGCTGGGAAAACTGAATTTCAACATGCAGAAGCATTAAGCAAGACCCCTACCTTTCATCTTACACAAAAATCCACTGAACATGGATTAAAGACTTATATCTACAACCCGACACCATCAAATTATTAGAGAGCATTGGAGAAACCCTGCAAGGTATAGGTACCGGCAAAGACTTCTTAGAAAAGACCCTGGTGGCACAGGCAGTCAAAGCCAAAATTAACTATTGGGATTGCATCAAATTGAGAAGTTTCTGTACTGCAAAAGAAACAGTCAGGAAAGTGAAGAGGCAACCGACAGAATGGGAAAAAATATTTGCAAACTATGCAAAAGATAAAGGCTTGATAACCAGAATCAACAAAGAGATCAAAAAACTCCACAACAACAAAACAAGCAACCCACTTAAGAGATGGGCCAAGGACCTCAATAGACATTTTTCAAAAGAGGAAATCCAAATGGCCAACAGGCACATGAAAAAATGTTCAAGATCACTAGCAATCAGGGAAATGCAAATCAAAACCACAATGAGGTTTCACCTCACCCCGGTTAGAATGGCTCACATTCAGAAATCTACCAACAACAGATGCTGGCGAGGATGTGGGGAAAAGGGACACTAACCCACTGTTGGTGGGAATGCAAACTGGTCAAGCCACTATGGAAGTCAGTCTGGAGATTCCTCAGAAACCTGAATATAACCCTACCGTTCGACCCAGCCATCCCACTCCTTGGAATTTACCCAAAGGAAATTAAATTGGCAAACAAAAAAAGCGGTCTGCACCTTAATGTTTATTGCAGCTCAATTCACAATAGCTAAGACCTGGAATCAACCTAAATGCCCATCAACAGTAGACTGGATAAAGAAATTATGGGACATGTACTCTATAGAATACTATACAGCAGTCAAAAACAATGAAACCCAGTCATTTGCAATAAGATGGAGGAATCTGGAAAACACTATGCTGAGTGAATTAAGCCAGTCCCAAAGGGACAAATATCATATGTTCTCCCTGATAGGCGACAACTAACTGAGCACCAAAGGGGAAACCTGTTGAAGTGAAATGGACACTATGAGAAACAGTGACTTGATCAGCCCTTGCCCTGACTGTTAATGAACAACTTAATACTTTATCCCTTTTAGTACTTTTTTTGTTCTACTTAATACTATTGGTTGAATACTGTAATCAATACAGTTATTCTCAAGTGTTGAAACTTAACTGAAAAGTTATCTCTGTTAAATATAAGAGTGGGAATAAGAGAGGGAGGAGATGTATAATTTGGGACATGCTCAAGCTGACTTGCCCCAAATGATAGAGTTAGAAACATACCAGGGGATTCCAATTCAATCCCATCAACACGGCATGTACCAATGCCATCTCACTAGTCCAAGTGATCAATTTCAGTTCACAATTGATCATAATGATAGGACTAAGAATCAGAGAGATCACATAATCAAGACTAGTGTCTGCAATTACTAACTGATAGAATGAAAAAGGGAGAGAATGATCCAACATGGGAAGCAGGATACACAGCAGACTCATAGAATGGCAGATGTCCTAAACAGCACTCTGGCCTCAGAATCAGCCCTTAAGGCATTCAGATCTGGTTGAAAAGCCCATGAGAGTATTTCAGGCATGGAAAGCCAAGACACTCTGGCCAAAATATAAAAAATGAAAGACCTCTGTGAGTGAGATCCCAGTGGAAAGAACAGGTCATCAAAGAAGGAGGTACCTTTCTCTGAAGGGAGGAGAGAACTTCCACTTTGACTATGACCTTGTCTAAATATGATCAGAGTCAGTGAACTCAAAAGGCCTCCATAGCCTTTCAACTCATGACTAGAGCCTAGGGTGATTACTGATGCCATAAACAAGAGTGTCAATTTGTAAAGTCAACAACAGGAGTCACTGTGCACCTACTCCTCATGTAGGATCTCTGCCCTTAATGTGCTGTACATTGTGATTTAATGCTATAACTAGTGCTCAAACAGTATTTTTCACTTTGTGTTTCTATGTGGATGCAAACTGTTGAAATCTGTACTTAATATATGCTAAACTGATCTTCTGTATATAAAGAGAATTGAAAATGAATCTTGATGTGAATGGAAGGGGAGAGGGAGCAGGAAAGGGGAGGGTTGCGGGTGGTAGGGAAGTTATGGGGTGGGGAGCCATTGTAATCCATAAGCTGTACTTTGGAAATTTATATTCATTAAATAAAAGTTAAAAAAATGAACTTCAAAAAAATAAATAAAATAAAAGTAAATATACAAAAAAAAGGTTCTGTAGATATCAGTTAGGTCCATTTAGTTCATAATGTATATT